TACCAGCACTGCTTAAGGGTCTTCTTACAGTCTGCCGGCTAGCAATGATGCCATCGCTAGCGTTGAACTCAGCGGCAATGCCATCCGCAGTGAGGCGAGGATCAGCCCTCGACCGAAGTGTGATCCGTCTGTCCCGGGCTGATAAAGCACATCGGAGTCATCCTCTTCTCTGAGCATTGCAAATAGAGCTTCTGACTTGCTAGCATGGAATAATCGAAGAAATCGTCTGCTGTTGGTCCTTCAAAATTCTTCAAGTGGCCGTGACTTTCATGCTCGATTCCTTCATGTCTGCTGCTTCCAGTCGATTTCTCTGAGTGCCTACTGCTCTTCTATGCATGCCTTGAGTGTACAAGTACTAGCGTCGAGCACAAAAGGGATGCAAAAATTGTAATCATCGCTGACCTCGCAATCAGGAAATATCGCTTCTGTAGTAGAACCTCTGCGCGTAGTCATCTTATCCCTCGTTTTGAAGCCAAAAAGTATAAACTGTTTCAGTACAAGGTGAGGTTTGACATATATATATCAAAATTTTTCTTGAATCCCTCCACTAGGAAGAAAGTTACGATTTTAAAAGCGTTTCACCGAAGACGTGCTACTGTATATGCTCGATCTGATGAAAGCGGGTCTTTGCGAGTTGGTAGACGTGCCGCTCACCATCGCGAGACTCGAGTTTCTCCTTAGGAGCGGCATAATGAGCTGCCTTCGCAGAAGCAACGACCCTCTCCGCCTCTTTCTTCGCTATCTCATAGCGCTGCCAGTTATCAGCTGTCTTTTTGATAAGAAATTCGTGGTACTGCTGTCTCTTCTCAAGTAGTTTATCTCTGACACAGTCCGTCCACGGCCATGTTTGCTTGTCAACCCTTCGCCGTCAAAGCTTGGTCATGCCAAGCTCCGATCGCGCTACCGTGGTTATCGCTTCGGCAGCTCCCTTCCAAGTCTCCTCGACAGTCGTTACCGCTGGTAATAGAATGCGAGAGCTTTCAGCTAGCTTCGGCTCCGGCGGAGCAATCTCTAGTGCACAGATCAGTGGTCGGTGTTCTGTTGCGACCGTTTCATAGAGAACTCATAGAGTCTTTGCGTCTGTTACGAGCCCCTGATCACGATGCCTGACAAAGACAAATTAAATTAGTGTTCTGTTCTCTATATATGGTGACGAGATGTTTACAATGGTGACATTATGCGGGTCTGCACATTCGAGAACTGCTCGCTATCACTGTTACATGACACATCCGACACCATGAAATGGGGCTCTTCGTGTTCTGAATGGCCTTCCTTACCACTATTCGAGTGCTATTGCCACGCTGGACTCGTGCCTCAAACTTGGGTAATTCAACCTTTATCCGAAACACATCACAAGGACAATAAGTGAGACCATCTTTTGAAGCATGGAGAAAAACAGTAACACTGTGGGACACTAGTAACATCACCGCATTGTATAACAACGTAATCATGAGGCAAATTGACTTCAAAGAAGGAATCGGATTAATAATGGCAAAACATAACAATATTAACTAAGTACAATAATTTTCTACTACTGTATCAAAACAGAAGACTAATAGCATGACAAGGTATGTATACAGTAAAGGAACTTAGATATTACAATAGAGGCTTTCGCTATATCGCAAGATGTTCAGCCGAGAGAAAGAGCACACGAAAGAGAATTGCCTTATGGGTCTTCTATAGAAACCCCTTTTACAGCATTCAATGGTTTGCGAATATGCGTGGACCCGTAAAGTTTCAATTTTTCCTGCGATACACTACCTAGACGCCTTTTAATCTATTAGGTCGCGCCTTTCCACGACAGCGCCCTTTGATCTTTTAGGCCACATTTCCGCGACACTCCGCTCTCCGCCAAGAATGTAAGTCTGTAGGTTGTTTTTTCCCTTTTGTTCGCGGGTTCTGCAATGACAAGTAGAGGAAATATTTGACGATGCAATTTCGCTGGTTCGCTATTGCGGTTGTCGGTTTAAGTGGTCACTTCTAGCAAGTGGCCATTTCTAGCGTTGTGGGTTGAACGATCTATTCAACCGTGGTTTCAATTTATATGGATGCCGTGCGGTCTCGCATTTTCTAAATTTTTGATGAGTTTTTGTCCTTCGTCATTTCCTCCATTGATTTCTATTGGAATGATTGAGTTGCTAGGCGGAGTTGTGAGGTGATTCTAGGGATGCTTCACGTAAGCAAACCTAAAGTACATGGATATGACAGGTGTACCAGTGGCGAATTGGAGCAGTGTTAAGGGTGACGCTTCATGCGCTAGAGACTAGGGTTCGGGTTTTGTGTGAGGCGAGAATTTAGCATTGTATTGAATTTTTCCTTGTAGCCTGAGAACTCCTTTGATGTTGATTTCATCGCGTTCTACGACCTTTTGATGGTTGTGGTGGCAACGTTCTTATCCAAAACTTGCAATTTCGCTTCAATTTTTTTCATGTCTGTCCATGTTATATTCACAATGGGGCGAATGCGGTGTAGTAGCAGGGGCGCACCATCACACGAGGATGGTCCAGAGATGGAACTCCGTTCAGGCTAACCAAACCTTCATCTCTCCGGGGTCAGTTAATTGGTATCAGACTCGTCTGGACGGATTAAAGAAGTGACCTGTACATTGGATGGTCATCGCGAATCACCGCATAGAGCATATACGTTTTCTACAGCCACTATGTATGTAATCGAGTGCGGGGCGCATACCAAAGGCAGAATCAGTAAAGTCAGAGGCTTAATTTTCTTGATCCTCTATATTCACGATGAAATTCAGAACGGTATACACACTCTGCAGTCGCTGACCTGAAGAGATCGCAGGGAAGTAAATGAAGTGATGCGGCTGCTCTCTGCAACCACCCATTCCTTTGGCCATTATGCTTTGCCTTTTCATCGATGGCCCCTAGGTTAGAATCTTTGTGGTATAGAGTGTATACGATCGTGCGTAGCGGCCCCGAACACTTATCTCCACAAAAGCGGGAGAAGGTATTGAACAGCTTGTGCCACGAGGGTAATACAGCCAATCACAGCTCATTTCTTAGCCGTTCTGTGCTGTTAGATTTAGAGACTTTCTCTCTTATCTATGACACGTCGCTTGCCACTTATGCACTTTCCAGGGTCGTTTTGACAATTCTGTTTTCGTCTACTTCAAAAAAATGTCAAAAAAATGGAATCGACATTGAAAGGCTTGGGATAGAACTTTGTCACCACAATCATCAGAAGGTCGTAGATGCTATAAAAACAACATCAAAGGAATTTTCGGGCTACAAGGAAAAAATTGGATACTTTGCAAAATTCTCGTCCCCCACAAAAACCCGAACCCTAGTCTCTCGCACATGAAGCGTCACCCTTACCACTGCTCCAACCCGCTACTGGTAGACCTGTCATATTCATGTAATCCCAAAATCACCTCACAAATCACCTCTCCCATTTAGAGAATCGCATGGCAAAGTTGGGAAGCAGATTTGAGATCAGCACCCGAAAATGGTCTTAACAGTATAGTTCTCATTTCAAACGGCCACTTCGACTTGGAATCCTTCCCTTATTAGTTCCACTTCTCTAGTTCCGTCCGTTGACAGTTTCAAGTCCGTGATGCGTGCCAATTTCCATTAATTCCGTGGTAGGACCGGATCGCTTAATAGAACAATTGCTCTTTCCTAAGGGATGGTGGGATTATTTCTATTTCTAGATAACTGCGTTTCGTGCTGTTCTCGCAGGGCGCTCAGGTATTGTTCTCGCCACACTCCTAAAATAATTCGTGAATCTGATGAATGATTGTAAGGCTTCCACTGCTCGTTTTCCTGTTTCTATGGTAGGAATTTCTCTACTCGGGTTATAGTCAGGATCGTATGTATTCGCCTTGACGTTTTCGATAGGAAAGACGACATTGATCTCGTTTTGCAAGAGATCTATTGGCCTTACGGAAGTGAATTCCTCAAGGTCCGTCTCTTGGTATGTGAGTGGCCTTGTGTTCAACATCCCTCGATTTTCATGATGACAGTTGTGAGGCTGTCATATGAAATCTTTGAGCGTTCAATCGTTTTGTACACGGCATGTTGGTTGATTTTATCAAACATAGAATCCACCCTGCCATGGGGCTTGGGGGTTATATTTTTGCACTCAATGCCGTTGTAACTGAAGAAGTTGGCGTGTGATTCGCAGCTGGTGGCACTGCCGAGGATTTTAGCGTTCAGCAGGAATGTCGGCGCATTATCGCACGTAATAGTGAAAGGGGTTCCACGACGAGAGAAAAATCTTCTGAGAGCGTCCAAGTAAGCTTCTGTACTCATGCTTTGTAGGACCTCCATTTGTATTAGGCTTGTTACTGCATATGTGAAGATGCACCCATAGATCTTCGCTATAAGATCGTCATCTTCCGCTGGAGGGAGTAGAAGAAGTCAAGGTCTATATGCTCGAAAAGTCATGCTGCTTGAACTCGTCCCGACGGAACATCTGTCATCTGTGGGTAACTGTAAGGTAACCCATTGAATCGTTTGGACTTGATTCATTGTTTCACCAGGGTTCTCACTTGGTGGCTTGACCTTGTTATCCATTAATCTTCTCGTACTGTGGACATGGTGTGAGCGACTCCCCAGTGATGAATAATGGAAATTCCGCGCCCCTGCGTAGCGATGCTTGTCCAAGGCGTCCACGTGCTTTCCAAAGTCCGTCCTTGTCTTTTATAATTTCAGCGTCTTGCTCACGTGCGTCTTGTCTTGATATAGTCAGTAAAAAGAGTTGATATTCGATGGTTTTTGATTATTAATGCCTTTGCTGCATGTACTTCTTGTCCTCTTAACGGACGAAGATCCTTGTGAGCGCATTTTGTTCCTGGGATATTATTCAGTATTCGTTCCACGCGTCCCTTCGATAAGTTCTCCATCATTCGGCGAATGAATCCCAAAGCCCATGCCATGACTCTTTGAGCTTTGCGGAATGAGGAGTATCGCTGCATCAGAAGCTGAGATTGGTTTTCTCTCTAAATATTTACTGTAGTGAATGCGAAAGATGTTTCTGTGTTCCTATGTTGAGTAAAAGTAGTATAGGCTATGCGAAACATTGATGTATTTCATTTCGATATTGGTTCTCGAGGGAACTGTGGGCCATCCCACCAAACATGGTGTTGCAATTGGTTTAAGAAGACCACGCGTGCCAGCATCTGCTGGGCTGTCCTTTAATGGCACGTATCCGAAGTAGACATTGGTTTGCGTTGCATTCAACGCGTCGATGATATTATGGATTTCCTTCAAACGATTACGGACGTGTATGCTTAATTCGTGATCGTCAGGAGATTTCATTATCCATTGAGAATAACTTGCCAGTCGGAATAGATGATAATATTTCTTATGTTGGCATTGAGAATAACTTGTCAGTCGGAATAGATAATAATATTTCTTATGTTGGCCATTGCCTTTGTCCAGAGCGTGATGAATTGATCGGGCTAGTCTTGCAGTCATTGACGAAGCATTCATTTCTGCTATCGGGGTTGTTGTCTTCGATTTGATGGATGGCGGTTTTGACTTTGCCGTCAACAAGGATGATTTCCCATTATTGAACGCGTATGCACAGGCTGCTGTGGCGCGTTCACTTGCATCTGCGAAGACGTCTGGGTTAAATGAGCTTCTTGAAGATTTTCCGAGGGAGATTCTTTCGGGATTCATTCGCATGGCATCTTTTAGCATATTGTAATTGCAGTGGTTGGGAATGTTCTTGATTCCAAGAATAACTTTGTAGCCAGAGGAGTTGTTGAAACCACTTAAGTGGAATGAGAAGCGGTACGAGCCAGCCTAGTGGGTGGTAGATAGAAGCAATGCGTTGAACTTTGCGAAGCTTTAGCGACTCCCTTGCTATTTCATCAGCGCTGTCGTCTGATAAAATTAAGTCGCTCACGTGAGGTTTTCGCTGATTTCCTTCGCCAAAGGTGGATCGTTCACCTCGTTATTCATATGGTGTCAGATTGTGGCTGCTTGAAGGAGGAGCAAAGCATTCACTCCAAATGTGGTCTTCGTGAAACGGTATGTTGCCATGTTGGATGGTGTGAGTGGACCTTGATGAATAATATTATTAGGCGATAGTTGCCCTTTGCAGTGAGAGGAAGCGTCGAAGACGATGCGTAGTTTTGTTGTCTCTTTTGAGGGAGTTATAACTGGCTGATGTGGCAGATAATGGATCAATGACGAGGATTCTTTGTCGTTTTCTACAATTTCTTCCTGATTCCTTTTTTGATTTGTTTATGAAATGCACAGTGGTGTTGCTTGAGAAGTTGTATGTCTTTTTGTAAAGCATTAACGACGCTCGTGAGACGGCTGTAAGCTAATGGTTTATTTGTCGGTAGTATTTCGCAGCTATCTTTGAATGGTAGCCGAATATAATATCCGTTATCTGTCTTCTCTATTGCATCCTTGAGGAACTTCTCGATTTTCCCACTGGCATGAAAATTTTCTGCGTTTTTTGTGCCAGTAAAATCCTCTATACCGCGGGTGTCAAGAGACCAGTAGCAGTCCCATCGCTCGCGTTCTGCTGCATCTTGTGCGTTTATTTGTGCTACACTTGTTTTCCTTTTGGAATCGTTGCCTTTTATGTCCGTAATCCTTTTCCTTCCGCATAGTTCTTGCTTGCCACTCAGAAGGTATCCTGACGTGGATGATATTACGAACAGTCCTGATGGCGAAACATGTAGTATGCTTGCGCAGTTCGGAAGAGGCCACAGTGTGTCGCAACCTAGTAGCACTTGTGGCTTGGTGAGTGTTTTTTCGCTCTTTACTAAAGTGATTCCTTGTCATTGTAAGTGTTTTCGATTTTATAATGTGAGTAGGGCTTGTTTCCCCTTTCTGTGATGACATCAATTCTGCATAGTGAGAGATTGCGGATGTTTTCTTGGGTGTCCCAGAGTTGTAACTCGCAGACACCGCATTTTTGATGACGGGGAACTTTGTTGCCGAATGTCTGGACAGACTAGTCTACACTGTCGATGTTTGGTAAGCTGACCAGGGAAGGATCCCAACTCGAAGTGGCCATTTGAAATAAGACCTATACTGCTAGACGTGTTTTTGAGC